TGAGGCATCGCCCTCTCGGGCGGCTGAAGCGCGCTGTGCCTCCGCCGCAGCCAGCCGCCGGGGGCAGCCCTCGGGGTGCGAATGGTGAAGTGCGGAGCCGGGGCAGAGCAGGAGCCTGACCCCCTTGGGCTGTGGGGCAGCCGCCTGGGTGCTCTGCGGGGCCGAGATCAGCCCGGCTGTGGGTGAGGCTGGCGGTTTATTGCTGCGAGGAGGGCAACCCTGCTCCTTCCCGCTCCCTGCGTGCAATCTGTCCCCGTCCCTCGCTCCTGTGGCTCTTGGTGGCCTTGACTGAGTGGGCAAATGTCCACGTTACCACCCAGCTGGTGCTGCAGGGGTGTCGCCCCCCTCACGGGGCCACCTGACAGAGTGCTAGTGGCTTCATAGGAGCTCAGGGGGCCCATGCACAAGTATCTCCTGCCATGCTGAGCCGCAATGGGGAAGGCCGTTATGTTTGCTTGGCCTGAAGGCCCCTCTTCCCATCTACCACCCCCACTGGAAAGTTTTGTGCCTCCTTGAGGCTGTGACCATCCCCCTCCCAGCCTCTGTTTCTGACGTTCTTCTCTCTGATATCAGCCTGGAGACAGTGTTTGGAATTTCATTCTCTTAATTTATTCTCTTTCTAGCGGCGGTTGGAACCATCATGCTTTTGTGGAAAGCTCTTTGTTGTGTGTGTGCGTTTATTTAAAGCCAGGATCTGCTGGCAGCGGGAGAGGTGGGGGGGCTTCGATACCTGCTGGGAGGGTGCCCCACAGCTGCTGCTTGAAAAATAAGAGAGAAGTTGCACACTCTGGTTTGAAGCCTGCGCCTGATAAGTTCATCTCATGTCTGGTTCTGCTTGTCAGATGAAAAAGCATATATAATCACTTCTCATTTGCTTCCTCTGTGGCAAAATCTGAGTGATTTTTATAGACCTGTCTTGCAGGATAAATGTTAATGATGTCTATCGACGTGACACTGAGCTGATGCTGCTCCAGAGCTGTCCCCTGTGACTCCCAAAATTCTCCTCCTCAGCTAATGGAGCTGTATGGTGGGGTGTGTGCAGCCAGTGCTGTTCCACCGCTGGGTCTTTATAGATGTCTCATTTGAGCTGCTGCTTTACACTTGTCCTTTTCCAGCCCTGCGTGAGCGGCTGTGCTCTGTAAAGTCCCCGATAATTAACGCCGTCTGGGGGTCCCCTGAGTCTTTGCACCCTCCTCAGGCACGGGGCAGAGCGGGAGTTGACTAAGGTGTCGTGGGAAGCTCTCAGCAGGGGTCCAGAGAATCCTTTTTTAGGGCTAATTCTTCTTTTTAAAAAAACATGTTTATCAGTGAACTGGAAGAAAATGCAAGTTAATGGAGGAAGACCCGGAGAAGATGCAACAACTTAGAGAATGATAAATAGTGAAAAGGACAGGTCCTTGGTACAGAGTGACCTTGATTGCTTAGCTGGAGGGCTGTGTTTTGCAAGGAATAGTCATTGCACTGAAGCAAGATTTAATGCTTTGCATCTAAAAAAAATATTAAAATTGAACCAAGAGGTTGGGGAGTTCTTGCTGGGGAGTTTAGCTTTGAAAAAATGCAAACATGTTGTGGATTTTATTCTTGTTTTGAATATTGTGTGTGATTCGGAGCCAGCCCTCCCTCTTCCACCCCCTGGCCCCCAGAAGAGGTGTTGAGTGGCTTCTGTAAAGGGAGAGATGAAGTAGGTTGTGCCTTTTAATCTGGAAAAGAGGACTGAGGGGGGCATGAGCGAGGTGTATAAATCATTAATGGTTTGTGGGTAGACATTTATCGTTCACCTCCTCTCCCCTACCCAGGAACTGGGAGGTGGCGACCGATGCTGGTCTGCGGAGACTCGGGGACAAGCAGGGAGTGGACTCTCTGCGTCTGGGTAAGACATGAGAATTCCTGGTGAAAGCTGGGGGGTTGTCAGGTAGCAATACCATTTGTTACAGACCAGAACCCTCTGGTGTGGGAAGTGTGTGAGCTGCACATGGTAGTGGGTGCTCCTGCGTGTTTCCTGAGACTTTTCTCTGTGGATCCATTGTCAGCTGCTCTCTGATGCGAATGTGGGCTTGGTGGAGGTTTGGCTGGGCTCAGCCATTGCTGTGTCCTCATGAAGCTCTTGGTCCAGCTGTCAGGCCACACTTCAGCGAGGGTGTTGATAAGCTAGAGACAGTTCAAAGAAGGGCTTTCAATCGGAAATGTTGCACTGCAGCATGGGGTGGACAGACACCAGGACACCTTCCTAAAAAACTGCTGTCTTTCAAGTCCAGCCTTTGAACGTGAGGGAGGATTTTGAAAGGAAACATCCTAATGATCATTTACACAGGAACTTGGAGTGGTTAATAATAATGACTTTTGTTTTGCATTTACACCTGGTGGAGAGCTGACCTCCAGATGTTTTTCCTACCATGTCCTTGAGACTGGCTGTAGGACAACTGAAGAACAGCAGAACTTCGTTTATCTACCGCTGTTACTGAAACAGCAGGAGATGCTGGTACAGATGCTTGTGGGTTTGGGAAGATTAATTAGTGTTTGTCGTTGTGCTGCAGAAGAGCATGCCAAACGTTATTACACACCTCGTTCTTGTGTTGTCAGGAAAGGCAGCGCTGCCTGTTACACTTTGTCCTGCAGAGGAGCAGGCGCCACAGATTCCAGCCCACATCTGCAAACGCTCGAGCTGTGCTGGGCTGGGCGCCTGTTCCTCCCCGTTCCTGGAGAGATGCCCTTGAATGTCAGAGCCGCAGTTACTACAATCGCTCTGCAGAGAGCAGCTCCCACTCCTTCGGGCACCACAAAATCCCTTGTTACCTCCCGTCCTGAGCCTCGGCTCGGGTGAAACACTGTGTGCGCTGGGCTGTGACAGTGACCACCCATCTCATTGGTGCTTGGAGCTCAATGAATGGCAGCAGCAAAACGCTGTAATGAAAACAAGTGTTTGGAGGAAGGGGGGTTGATGTCTTCATCTTTGGACGCGTGGGGAGCAGTGGCCTGAACCAGCCCTTTCTGTCGAGTGTAGCAGATGCACCTTTCTGGGGATGTGCGCTGCCCGCCCCGATAATTGCTGTAGTGAGAGTGAAAAATGGACTGCCTCAGCATCCTCTGTGAGCTTAAAGTGCTGTTTATGTCTGTCTTACAAACAAGGTATTACAGCTGAACAGGCTAATTACAGGGTGTTGTAAAGAATGAACCCCTGGGCAGAGTCTAGAGATTCTAGTTAAGAGCTCAATGTAAGAGTGAGAAGATTTTCGGAGGAACAGCCCAGATCCTTTCGTGTTAAGATTGATTTTAAGATACGAACCACCGTATTGTACCATACGAAGTGGTAAATCCCCTCCCCAGTCCCCTATCACTGGCATTTTCAGGTGGTTTTTTGGCACTCACAAAGCCTTTCTATCTTCTCTCTTGCAGATGTGTCAGTCGGCGATGCCTGCTGGCTCGGCTTGGCCCTGGCCTTTCTGTGCGACAGTGAGTCTGAGAGTAACGGGATTAAATTCTTCCCCGAGGGATCCTGTCTAAGGCTTTGAGGCATGCGTGCGCTTAGTAATTCTGGTCAATCAATGCCATGTGTTGGCTGGGCACTTACTGCTGTATGCCACCACAAGGGCACAGCCTATTTACAGAGGGGCTGGGGCTTGTGGGTGGGGATGAAGGGAGAGCCTGGCTGGCTGCTGAGGTGAGCCTGGGTCTCTCGCAGGGGCGGTGGTATCCCTGTCACCCCTCTGTGCCACTCTGTGTGAGAGCTTTGCACCTGAGGAGGGCTGGGAGCTGCAGAATCCCTCTTTTTCCTGTGCTTCGTGCTGCCGGGCTTAGGGAGAAATAGTTATTTTCTGCTAAATTGGGCTGTAAGTGTAATTGCTGTGTAATCTTGGGAACATTAAATTACAAGCTCTTTATTTGGTACAGTGTGCAATTACCGTGGCAGTAAAGAGCAGGTTGCATGTTATCAGTATTACACAATGTGTTATCTGATATCCTATACCCTGATTTGGGTGGTGCTGGGGGGTGGCTCGGCTCTGCTGCCTGAGTGGATTCCACTGCAGCAGCTTCCCATCCTGCGTATTATTATTATTATTCACTCGGGAGAGCTGGCAGCAATCCTCTCCTCACCCGTGTCCGTGCACAGCTGGAGCCATTCTTTGTGCTGCTGTAGACAAGGTCAGCCAGGAGCTTGTGTCCTGTGAGATGGAAAGCTGCTGCAGAGTTGCGAGGCGGAGCAGGTGGGGGTGAAATGCTGCCTGTATCCCTGCACCTCCCAACTCTTCTTTTGCAGTGTTGTCCCCATGGGAACGACAGCCAAGGAGGAGATGGCCCGCTTCTGGGAGAAGAACACCAAGTCCAATCGTCCCTTGTCCCCTCATGTCACCATTTACAAGTAAGAGCCTCTTGACCTCCACAGCTTCACACTGGGTCACCTCTGGGCTCTGGCATCCGACAGCCCCGTCCCCGGAGGCACCCTTGGGTGGGAGGGCTGTGCATGTTCCCGCTGTTGCTTCAGGCAGAGGATGAGGAAACCCTCTGAATTGCACTGTGAACAGTCTGAGCTGTGTGTGGGAATCACAGCTTCCCCCTCTGGAGCTGATGACATTCACTGTTTTTATACAGGCTGTTGTAGAGGGGTACAGTCCCCCCAGAGCTGCACCTCAATTTGCTCGGGCAGGGCAGCGTTTCCAGATGTGTTATTGAAAGGCAGCTGCCTTCGTGGAGGGCGGTTGTGCAGAATGGCTCATCCCGCTGCGGAGTTGGCAGTCCTCAGGGGTAGAGGCAGGAGGCCAACTTGGGGGCCTCGGGTTCCCTCCTCAGAAAGGTGACGGCTTCTTTGGGGCCGGATCCATCACTTTTCCAGTTTCTCTCATTTGTCTGTGAGCCTGGATGCCCAAACCCTGCACCTTTGTTCCTCAACTGCAGGAGCATTACAGTCTTCTCCTGTTTCATCTCCCTTTAAGCTTTCTCAGCAGACGCCCTTCCCCTTCCCAAACCCGTGTCAGTGGCATTTGCCATTCCCAAGCTGCCTCTGCAAATTCCCCTGTCTCTCCCCTTTTGCTCTGGCTGGATTCCGTGAATAACTCTGAGTGCTGAAGTACCCGCCCAGCAGCATGGAGCTGTCTAGGAATAGACGGGCTGTGCTTTGTCCCGCGGCCTTGGAGGCCTCCCTGGTATTGTACCCTGTTTTGCTGACACAGTTGGTTGTTTTTCAGGTGGTCCCTGCCCATGGCGATGTCCATCACGCACCGGGGCACCGGTGTTGCGCTCAGCTTAGGTGCGTGCACCTCCCACCTGCTTATGGGGGCTGCGGGAGGGAAGACCCCTCTGACTCAGAGACGTGACTCCAGGTGGATGTTTTCTCTCCTCTGTCCCCAGCTTCAGCAATGGGTTTTCTCCTGGGAAACCTGTGCTTTGTCCTCTCCTTTTCTCCATCCCCTGAATATTTCCCCACCCCCATTTCTCTGTCCCTGGGTCCTCTTGTGCTGCGAGTGCCTCCAGTCCTGCAAAGGCAGCGATGCTCCCCTTTATGTAAAAGCCTTTGCAGCAGTTGGCCTGGCCTGGCAGCTTTCTTTGGGGCCTTCCCCAGCCTGGAAAAAGCTGATGTGCTGCTCCCGTTCTCAGCCCTTCTCTTCTGGGGCTCTTTTTTGCTGGTTTACCCTTACAGGAGATCCTGTGCGAGGGAAAGACTGACAGGCAGACAGAACTCAGCATTTGGCTTAGCACAGGTAGATTTTTCAGCTTCCTGGGAGTGGCTGCTGCTTTCCTAGAGATCCTGGTGGGGGAGAAGGTGGTGCCAGCATCAAAACTAAAAAACTCCCTCCAGCAATTTGACTTGCATAGTTTGACTGAGTGATAGGATGTCTAACTGTGAAAGGCTGTTTTATTTCCATTAATGCCCTCTCATGGCAGCAGGCAGGTGCTTCTCTGGTAGTTCCCTGTTGAGGGCAGGGAGCTGGGTTGGTGTTTGCAAGAAGGGCAGAGAGTGAAGGCGCTCAAGAGATTTGCAGGGCTGAGGACTTGTGTTCTTCACTAAGCAGACTGAGAGGGAGCTGCAAAGGCTGCAGCCTGCGCTTCTCAGTCTGGCCTCCCATGAGGACTTGGGAGTTGGGCTCTCAGAAAAGGGCACCCATGCGCCCTCCTGCTCCCACATCCACACGGTAGAGCCCTGGTGAGGGCTCGGCTCTGCCCCCAGGCTCTGCTCCTGCCAGGCCAGCCGGCTCGTGCCCAGCTCTGCCTTGCAAAGAGCGACATGCATCCTCTGCAGCAGAGCAGAGGCTCTGAGCACGGCAAGGTGACTTTGCCTGCATGCACCCTGTGAGCCCAGCTGGCTCCTTCAGGGTGGCTGCATGCCCTGCTCCATGTGTGAATCCAGGGCATTGCATAGCAGCCACGCTGGCACCACCCCGCTTAGGGATTTTATCTCCAGGAGCTTGGGATGTGCTTGGCCCCATGGGCTGCGATCCTTGTCCAGCTTGCTGTCAAGTTGGCCGCTTCACTGTGGCTTTTCTGCTCTGATCCATCAGCCTCTGCTGGTGGGGAAATCATCTCCTTCCCAGGCTGATGGAGCACGAAGGAACATTGCTTCTGCCGACCACAGCTCAGCAGCTAGGAGAAGGAGGGGGAAGTGTTCAACTCCTCTCTCCATCAAGGCCTGTAATTACAGGAGCCTCTGACTTCCTGCGCTTCTTGCTGGGCGAACACAAAGGCCATTGAGGAGACAAGTGACTGAGCGCGGAAGCAGCTGGTTGACTTGTGCTGCCAGCGCTGGCCTCAGCCGAGGTGCTCAAGCTAGCGTGCTGCAGTGTAATCAGGCACTATTGAGCGGAGGGTGAATCGCGACTTAGCTGACTGCTGGCTGCGATCGTTCCCATTCTTTTGGTAGCACCATCTGGAGACACCCTCTTGGCCTAGATATGAGGAGAAGCTGCTGCAGCTCCTGCAGCTAGCGCAGCCACGCGTGTCAGGCTGCCTCTTTGTCTGCCGGTTCCTTTGCTGGTCCCCACCATGGCAGCCTTGCTAGATTGCTGCCTGTGTCAGGGGCTGGTAGCGGAGGGGTTTCTGTCCTGAGATGTGGACTTTGTTGAAGAGCTGCCACCTTAGATTTCCAAACTTCATTGTCCCTTTAACCGTGAATTTGGGCTGGTTTGGTTGCAATTGCATGAGCTCACAGCAGTTTGGTCTCTGTTCTATGAGTGAGTAATGCAGCCCCTGGTGGAGGACCCAGATTCAGGATGCTGCTGCCTCACTTTGAGTCCTCAGCACCCCAGGGCACATTGTCACAGTGCAGCTGGCACTGCCACCAGACAGGCAGAGCCCTTCTCCCTCCTCCTCCTCCCTCCGTAGGCTGCCATGAGCTGATGGTGGTTCAGGCTGTGTCACCAAACCAGAGATGTGGCCTGGGGCTCTTTGCAGGCATTGAGGGGCTGGTAATGCTTCTGCTGGCTTGACCTGCAGGCTTTGTCTTTCTCAGGAGTCTCCCTCTTCAGTCTGGCTGCCCTGCTGCTCCCAGAACAGTTTCCCCACTACCTGGCCATGGTGAAGTCACTCAGCCTGGGGCCTGCTCTCATCTACTCTGCTAAGTTTGCTCTGGCTTTTCCCTTCTCCTACCACACCTGGAATGGAGTCCGACACCTTGTGAGTAGCCCCTGTGAGGGGCTGTGCGCATGCTCGGGGGGTGCAAAGGAAGGGAAGTGTCTGCCAACTGTGGGAGTGCCAGATGCGGCATCTGGGAAGGTGCCCTTGGAGATGGGAATTAGTCACCTCAAGTGCTTCTGAACCTCAGTGCTATTTTTGGGTACATTTAAGTTGAAAAGAGCATCACTATGCTGGTGCTTCACTGGGCGGCACATCTGGCTGAAGCATCCCCCTGCCTCTCCTTGGCTGCGGGAGATGGATGAGGGGTGGCAGGAGCAGCGTTACAGCCGGAGGATGTGTCCCCAGAGCTGCAGGCTTGAGCCCTGCAGAAGTGCCACCTGTTGCTTGTTATCTCGCCCTCGTCATGCAGCTGTTGTGCTGTGATCTTTCAAGTGTTTTATAGTATTTAATGAGCCCAGAAGACATGTGGCAGAGGATTGGAGGCAGCGCTGCCTGCACAGAAAGTAACCTGTTATGTTTGCCCGGTGCTGAAGTGTGAAACAAGCATCTCTGTTCAGCTGAGCTTCCTGTGTTTGACAAAAGAGGGGGAGCCGGAGAGCTGAGAGTTTCTTGCTGGGAACAGTACAAGATGTGCTGCTTTTTGTAGTCAATTTTGTGTTTTCTGTAGCTCCAGATAGGTTTGATTTTTATGGGAGCAAATTGCAAAGGCAGCTGGCCCGGAGCGTGACACAATCCTTCTGCTCTGGGCCAGGGGAGCATCATGTGCAAAGCCATGCTGTAGAAGTGGGCTCGTGCTGCAGGCGATGACAGCTTCCAGTGTTTCCAGCACAGAAACATGGGACTTGAGCACTGTTGGATGTTGCATCCTGTACCTGAGAGCAGCTATTATGAGGTTCTTGTGTCAGAGTGCTGGGAGGTGCCTGGCCAAGCTGTTGGGGTGAACAACAGCCATGTGCTGTGAGAGGAGCCCCCTCTGTGGGCCCTTGGGCCAGCCAGTGGCCAGCTAGCAGTGCTGTTAGTGCTCGTTACCTGCTTTTTAAGCACTCAGCGTTGGACGAGGTCTCAGAGCACAGGGCCTGCAGCTGGCTGAGCCCTGCTTGCTCATGGAGGTGCTGTCGGGCAAATGGAGCAGTCATAACCGGCTGCTTGTTCAGAGCATCGTGAGTCAAATGTGTGCTGAAGTCTCTGACTGCACATATATATTAGGATGCCAATTAAATTGTCTGAGAAGGAAACCAGCAGCGTTGGCCCCCCGCTGCGCTCTGCAGCACAGCCCATTGATGACAGAAGGAGAGTCAACAGGGAGCAGGTTCAGTTTAGTGCCTTTGCCCCAGGTGCTTCTCTGCTTTGAGCCCCAGGGGCTTGCTGGCAGGCTGGGAGGAGGTGTGTGCTCCCCAGGCTGCCCTCAGCCACCCTGCTTTTGCTTGGCCAAAGTCAGGTGAGAGGCGCAAACCCATATGCGATACCTGGGAACTGAGGACGCCCAGCTCCGCGGTGCCATTCCACCATCCCTCCTTGCCGTACGGGCTCAGCCTGGCCTCCACGGCTCACACCGTACCCCAGGGATGTACGCAGAGGTGCTGGGGGCTGTGGCTCATCTCCACCTACTCTGCTCTGCCCCCAGGGATATTAGCGCTGCCTCAGATCTGCGGATTGCACCGTGCTTTATAACCTATTTCTGTCAGCAGGAGAGAAGCAAGCGGAGAGCAGCTGCTGCTTTTGAAGTGAACCTGGTGTGCTGCGGCTGCTGGGGATTCAGGAGAGCTCACAGGCAGCTTTTCCAATAGATGGGGGGCTTGGTGGGGAATAAACTTCCTCTGGCACAGCACACATGTGCCTGCACCCAGGGAGACCCCTGCCCATTACCTGCAGTGATGAACACTTGCAGCCCTCCCTCTGCTATGTACCTGATGGTTCAGAGGCTGTTTTTCAGAGTGGTCTTGCTAGCTTTTATCAAAAAGACGTGCCTTTCTGCCTGTGTCCAGCACATCCCCCATCAGCCCTGTTGAATTCACCCTGCTGTGTCTCTTCTCTCCCTGCAGGCATGGGACATGGGGAAGGGGTTCAAGATCCCCCAGGTCAACCAGTCTGGGGTGCTGGTCCTGGTCTTGACCCTGCTCTCCTCCGCTGGCCTTGCAGCAATGTGAAGGTGCCTCCTGGTTGACGGCCTCCCGTTTTTGGTTTTTTTTTTTTTTTTTTTTATTGGAAGATTTCCTCCGTCCTGGCCCACCTCAAGACGTGTGTGGGGAGGGAGGCGAGAGGACAGACTCCCGAGTAAACTACAACTATTTGGGGAAGGTGGCACTTGCCCTCCTCATGAATCTTGTGGATGATCAGAGTTGCTTTTCATTAGCACGCGCCGTGTGCTTGACCCCCTGTCAAGGGGCACAGGCCAGGCTGTCTCCTGCTGTGCTGCACGCTGGAGCAGCCGCAGAAAGCTGGGCACAAATCAACAGCTGATTCTGGCACATTCAGTCACTTGCAGAGAACTGCCTAGCTTCTTCCAGGCAAACTCCAGGGCGTTTCTTTTCTCTGCTCTGTCCCCAGGCTTGAGACAATGCAGAATCTGTGTCCCCACAGGTCCGAGTGGGCTCGGGGATGGCTGCTAGTGCGTGTGTAGGCCCAACGCAGGACAAGCATCTCCATTGAGGCAGCCCGTGCCAGGGCAGGGAGAGCAGGCGGAGCTGCCAACGCCAGCACCCGTGAAGGGAATGGGTGATCGGTGCCGTCAGGGTGCTGCACCGGGACCCTGCGCTTTCCGAGCCTGGCAGCATGAGCCAGCCGGGATGGAGTGCTTAGACCTGCAGAGGTTCAGTCCCGACTCCTTATCCTTGAAAATGTTGCGATTCAGCCAGCTTTGGGGCCCTGGAGCCCCTGCCAGTGTAAATGTCTTATTTTCCCCTATTAGAAAGTTATTCTGTGTCTCGCACGAGGGGAGGGATGTGGTTTTCTGGTAGCATGTTGCCACCAGCTCTCATTTCAGCACTTGCCATTTGTCCACCTTTGCAATAAAGCAGCCTTGATCCTCCACACTGAGCCACTGAGTTTGTTGTCTGTGCTTGACACTGTTTGCTTAGGCAAAGTCGGCCTGGAAAGGGGTGTTTTGCTCCGAGATCCAGGGAGTTGCCACTTCCCAAAGGAGCTGGCTGATGGAAAAACAAACTGTTTGCAGTGTTTAGAGGCAGGTGTAGAGCCTGACCTTTGGAGCTGGTGGGTGCAGGGTTGACTTGTCTGTGAAACGCTCCCAGGCTGGCAGAAAGGGATTTCCTACCTGGACTGTGGTTGGTTGTGCTGGTACAAAGGCCTGCACCAGGTCCAGGAGCTTTTTGCTCAAATTGGACAATTTTTAACGCTTGCCACTGGGAGCAAAGCTTTGCAAAGAGGACGCTCCCCAGCAGGAGCTCTGTCATGCTTTCCTGTTCCAGTGAGGGTCTTGTCTCTGTTTCAGGAAGGATCCTCCTTCCTGTTCACATCATCAGCCAGCAAAATGTCAGCTTTATGGGGAACATTTGCTCTCCTCATCGGGCTTTTATGGAGACCTGAAGTGGCAGGAGGGGAGCCAGTGTAATAAAGTGCTCCAGGATCCCTCACGCTGGCCAGGATTGTTTCCATGCAATTGCTTTTACTTCTGCCACCGATCGGAGCCTGGTCCCTCCCACTTGCTCAGCTCCTCTGCCTGCCTGCTGGACCTAACAAATCTGCCACTCCTTTAATTAGCAGAAGGCATCGCAGCCCTGAGGGGACGTGCAGCCTCAGAGATGAGAAATCACAAAGAAGGAAAAACTGTCTGCTGTCAGCATGGCAGAGGGAGAAGATGTACAGCCGAATCCCATTCGGTGTAGCGGCATGCCCCAGCAGGAGAGAGCTTCTCCTGGGTGAAAATGAGTATCTTTTAGCTTTAAACCAATTACTTCCTGCAGTTGCTGAAATGGCTTTTATTTGGAAGCCACTTCTGCTTGCTAATGAGCTATTCTGTAGTGCTTGCCAGCTGCTAACAAAGTTAGACTTTGCTGCATCTCTCAGCTGCGCTTCACAGACTTTATTTCCCTTCTGTGAGCAGTGGCAGGGGGCTGGCAGCACTGCCCTGTGGCTGGAGCAGACGAGAAATGAAGCCAGACATGCCTTTCTTCCCCCAGAAGAGACCGCTCGAGGAATAGGTGAAACCAACCTGCAATGGTGAGGTTTCTGCTGCTCGGTGCAGGGAGAGGCTGGGTGAGCCGTGAGTGGCTCCAGGCCTGCGGCTGGTCCCATTTCCGATATGAGATGCTATTAAATGGGATGAGCTGAGATACAACCCGGAGAGAGCAGCATGTCTGACGCCGAAGCACCACGCACACCTGTGGAGCCTCGACCTGCCTGGGGCTCTGCCCTGAGCTACTGAAACAAAACATGGGGATTTATTTTTTTTAAACATGTATTTTTCCAAGTACCATGAAAACACAATTACAGGCCATGTGGTGCTGTCCCAGCGTCGGCCTCGCTCAGGCTTCTTTGACACGTTCCCCTTTCTCACCCTCGGGGGTAGGAAAGTGTTTTGTTTGTATGCATGTCTGAAGGGGTGGATGGTTTGTGGAGGAGGCCGAGAGAGACGAGGAGGGGAAAGGGAGGAGACCAAAGCCAGCTTTGAGCCCAGCACGAGATGGCCGCCCAGCTCTCACGCTTGCGGCACTTCCTCTGGGACCAGCCTCTTCCCATCCTGCACAAGGCAATGCCCTGAGCCCAGGGGATCTGCCCCCCAGGGCTTGGCCTCCACGGAGCCTGCCCGGCTGGGAGCAGGGACCTGCAGCAGTGTGGCTTGCCAAGGGCTGGCCTCCCTTGGAGTGGGGTGGATGGAGGCTGGGATTTTGGGGGAGCCGATGTCCCTGCGTCGGAGGTCTGTCACAGCAGGCTCTTGGGAGCGCGTGGTTTGTCCCCTGTGCTTGGCCTGCTGGGAGCAAGGCTGGTGCGCAGCCAGGGGCTGCGGGGACACATCTGCCTTCAGCTGGACCTCTGTGCAGCCGGGCTCACGGGAGGGCAGTGCCGCAGCCATGGCTGCTGCTCCAGGGCCAGGCGGCAACTCCAGCGGCTCCCCAGGGAAGTCCCTGGAGGGCTGGATCCCCTCACTGGATGTCCGACTGCTCCTTTGGGAAAGCTCCTTGGTGGTTTGCACGTCCAACTGAGGCTCTTGGGGCTGCGCGAGGGAGATGCATGCTATGCTCATGGAGCAAAGATGGGGATGGGGGGCAGTGGGAGAAGGCAGGGAGAACGGACTGGGCAGAAATGCTGGGGCAGGTGGGTCTGGGCCAGCTCCCACTGCAGTGGAAGGGCTTACTGCAGCGTTGAGCTCTGTGCTGGGCTCACTGCAGCACTTGGGGCAGGGGCTGCTCTGCCTGGGGACAAGGCACCCTTGCTGCGGTCCCCAGGGAAAAGCAGGGAGTGGAAAAGGGGTGCTGGGGGCTCCCAGAAACCCTGCACATAAAGGCAGCCCCTATTCTCAGATGCTTTTCTCCAGGAGGAGAGCGGCGGCTTGTGAGCGCCTCCTGCTGGCACAGCAGTGGCCCGGGCACCCTGCCAGCAGCGGGGAGATGAGCCCAGATTTGGGGTGAAGGCCAAGGGAGTCCCAACCTGAGAGCAAGGGGAGATGGTGGCCCAAGCACTGGGCACTGCCAGGCCGAGTGCATCCAGTTGGACCTACCAGCAGGTGCAAACTGGGCACATGGGAGGAAGGAGTCTGAAACAACCCCTGGGAGAGAGGGAAGAGGCAGAGGGAGCTGCAACGTGCAGCCCTGCCTCTGCTGCCTTCTCCTATCTCTTGCCCTTCCCTAGCCTGGTACGGGCCAAGGGTGGTACAAAATGCCACTGAAATCTGCTCGTGGGCTGGAGTGCTGTCCCTGGACCCCCAGAGAGGGGTACCTACCTTCCCAGTGATCTCCGTCCGGAGGCCGTTGCAGGCGTGGGTCAGGGCAGTGGGTTGGCGGATGTGGTCAATGAGCCGTGCAGCGGCAGCGGCTGAACGGGAGGTCAGGTCCAGCCTGGCTGGGGGAATCCTCGGCGGCATCTCCCAGGTCCCCACAAATGTGCCCCATGGGGAGGCCTGGGAAGAAGAGGGGCCTGGTGAGGGGTTTGGGGCCCCAAGGTGCCAGCTGAGGGGCAGGAGCTGCCACCTCTGTTCCCCCCATGGGTGCCCGTGGATCTGGCTCACCTGGGAGCGGGGCACAGTGGGGAGCAGGTGCCCCCGGTCATCAGCAACGATCAGCGCGGAGCCCTCTCGTGGCGAGGGGTGCTGG